TATATATATAGAGAGAGAGAGAGAGAGAGAGAGAGAGAGAGAGAAAGAGATCTTATTCTTTCTAAACTAATAGTGACAACTTCATAGGAATATGCGTGCAGTCTATACTTATTACATTTATTATTATCACTCAATATCGCAAATATGCGTATCTGCTAGAACAGAGGTTAGAACTGAGAACTCGACACGAAAAAGCTATAATTGCTGTAATTTCATATTCTTCGAAAATTGTCTTGTTGTCTTGTTCGAAGAAAAATGCATTTATCAAGAAAGAGAGAGAAAGATAATTAGATGTAATTGTTTGTGACGCATGAGAGTAAACGTATTTTTCTGCATATTTTCTCAAATGAAGCAACGTTATTCAGTAAGGCAATTGTTCACGCGTTATTTAATTAATGAATTTATAATTTGCATTCAAAATAATAGTCGCTGATACCTTGGGGTTTATTCATTAAACTTCTTTAAATCTCCAATTTTAGGAATAAATCATCCGATTAAATTTGTGCCGGAATATATTACGCAAATTACTTAAAATTACCATTGAATATTACTAATATTAATATTTGATGTGCCAATTAACTGCGTATTACTATTAGAAATGACTATCTAATAGCCGGATGTAATTACGAAATTAATACGCAATTGAATTCGGTCGATGCGTATTAATATATAACGGCGTCAACTCGCATTTGCAACTAACTTCGAAACGCCATGAATATCTTTTTGCATTACGAAATTACGTACCAGAAAGATTGTGAATTGACAAACAAGCGCACAATATAACGTGGACATTTCAGGGAGTATCACGAATTAGTGAAATTAGAGCTTTTTCATTTTTTTGAACTGAATTTCTAGCATGATTCATTTCTTTGTTTTATCCAATATGGAGAGAAAAAAGGAGAGATGAATTATGCAAGATGTTCAACTGAAAAAATAGACTTTAGCTCGTCTCGTAAATTTAAGACTTTTCACTTATAGTTACTTAAAAATTATTTAAAAAATTCTTCAATGAATTTCATTGCTGAGTTCCTTGGTAATCTTTAATCTTTAGGTAATCATATATTATAAAAATAGAGTTAAATATGTAACGAATGACTTTTCATGAGCAGAAATTATTCATGCAGAAAAAATTTTTATAAAAAAAGCTGTATTTGTAAGAAATAAACATTAATTAGCAATTTTATATAATGAGTACAGCTATTCTAATATAAATGAAAAAGCTTCGCATGTTCCCGAGATCTTAGAAGCTAAACTTCTTGATAGTACAAATTCTTCTTTTGTATTCAAATAATGCGATTTTTCATTTTTATTTATTTTTAAGATAATATATTTCAATTATTACATACCTTTTAGGAAAAATAATTTTGAAAAATGTACTGTCTATTTTATTCTTTGTTAATAAATTACTAATTAACGTTTTTACTTTTTAAAATAAGATTTTTCTAAAAAGATATTTCTTTTGTAAGATAATTTTTTGTATTCACTATAATTTAATTTAATTTTCTGTGTAAAAATAATATTGTGTACACATTTAAATGTGTAAATCCGTTTTTATGTATACAATACAATGCGTTATTTTTGCATGCAAAAAAACCAAATCGCACATGCATAAAAATATTTATTATATATTTAGATTTGCAGTGTGTAGTGCACGACTCTTTTCACATCAAGAAATTTATTTTTTATTACATTGAAAAAAAAGATTAGTTGCTGTAACAATTTAGATAGTAAAATATGACATAGTATTTTTATATGGCTGCAGCAATCAGTTTTTGGTTGTAGCTGCAAATTTTTAGTTGTGTTAGCCGCAGTGTCAGTATATGATTTTGATATAGCAGCCATATAAAAATGCTATGTCATATTTTACTATCTAAATTGTTGCAACAACTAATCTTTTCTTTCAGTGTACTGTACTAAACTAGAACTTTTTTTGCCCTCATCAATTTTAAATCCAATATTCTAATAAACAAGCTGGCATTATTTATCGTTATTTTTACGTCAAATTTACGATAAATAACAGCTTATTTGTTGAGTTTGACTTAATAAGTACAAAAAAGTATACTCGTTCGACTGTAAAAAATAGACTTATTCAGACAAGGTCTATTCGCGTTGCATGCACTTTGTGCATGAACATCTTCGTTTTCTCTTTAATATCTCTTTAAATATTTATTTCATTTTTGAATGTAATGATTTTCAGGAATTTCAAGCAATATGAATAGACCTGGTCCGAGAGATCACATTTGTCTTTACACTCACCTGTCATCGCGGCGTCGCAGGTATTCACCGTCACAGAGATCCTCGAGATGCACCTCCAGAGAGCCTGGCGGGGCTCACAGTCGGTCGTGTGTGGTCCAGTCGCACAAGAAGCAGCACTACACTTTCGCGTAACGGAAATCCACTCTTTCTTCGGAGGCTCCGGAGAAACACGCGCGCGAGAATCACTCTTCTCGGCGTACAATCAACACCATACGCGCGATCGCGGTCCGCGCGGAATGGCGAGTGTCGTTCAAAGTCAAGGGAGAGCGGCGTCGAAATTCAAGCGCGTCACGTGACGCGTCTCCGCCGCCGTGATTGGCCGTCGCGCCTTTTCTCCCGCGCACTGCTCGCCACACTTCACGTTTCCCGCGAACGGGATGAATGAGGCTCGATTCTTCTCTGGTAATTGTGGTAGAATCGCGCGGGCGATTTCGTCAAGATCCTTCTCGCGATTACATGAAATTCTTCCCGATAAAATCGCGACACGCGCCGATCGTCCACTCCATTCCATCCGCGAGAATTCAATTCAGACGCGCCATAATGAAAATGTATTCGCGCGCCCAACTTCACGCTGATTCGCGAGTGAAGTTTATTGCCAATCGAAATCTTCATGAATTTTTTCGCTCCTTTTTAATTTAGTAACTCCCAATTCTTTCACAAGCTTCAATTCGGCAAATAAAAACAAAAAAATTTGTGGAAAACAAGATCGTTTTAAACATGCACAATAAACTCAGTTATTTCCATCAGAAACTTTGAAAAATTTGAAGACGGTGCAATAAACCGGAGTAAAACCACTTCTATTCCGAGGTCAAATAGTTTCGACAAACACACAAAAATCTTCTGAATGTCTTTCCAGCTAGAGACACTTTGCGCAGAATTCCACCGATGTCTCTTTCTTCTTTAATTACGGCACTTGGGAGTAAAAGTCAATACGCAAGCAGAACCTCGCGAGTATTTCAGACGAACAGAAAAGGCGTTATGTTGAAGGACAAAAAAAGTTAAGAACAGAGTGGAAGTCTCGATTTCTCCAACGAATTCCGTCATGAATCTCGGCGTTAAGATTCGCGAGCGGCGTGAAGTGCGGCTCGAATTCGAGTTTCGTCACGTGACGCTCGCCAGCCAATCGGGATCCGTTTTAGACTCGGCCTCGTCGCTGCGTCCGTGAAATTCGAAATTCGCCGTTCAAGGTTGTTTGTTTGTCCCTTGTGTTTACGTCTCGCCTTCGCGTATGGGGCGACGCAACGACCGCTTATCCGCGAAGAAAATAACGGACGACGCTACGTTCGACGGTGTTCCTCGAGACGACGAGAGAAGAGAAAGAAGATAGCTGCATCAGATAATACACCCACGAAGGAAGAGGATTCGGACGGGTCTCCCGCCGCGAGGAAACAACACGATGGTAACGTCGTGGAAGGACAGGAGGTGAGCGAGCGGCACGGCGGCGCGGCCAGTTCCTGCGCCGCTCGTCCTTCTTTCTCTCTTTCCCCTCCCCGCCCCTCTCTCTCTTTCTGTCTCACTTCTTCTCTCCCACCCTGCGGGCGTACGCGGCTACGGCCGTGCCACGCGGAGCTCACGTCGACCGCGTCTCGCGGAGAATTACACGCCGTGGACTTACATCGAGAAGAAATAACGAGAGACATTGGCGCACACGAGACGACAAGACATTGTACGACGCGACCTCCGCAATCCGCGGAAGGACTGTCGTCCGAACTACGTTCGCCCGCGCCCCGCCATTGGCGTCATGGACGCAGAGCGCAGAGGACGCAAGCGGTAGGAGCAGGAGCGAGAACGAGGCTGCGCGCGACGAAGAAGGAGTGGGCGGCGAAGTAGGGGGGGGGGGAGAGCGTGGATCGCCGGCGCGGCGCGGACGACGGGTGATGGGCCGGGGCAGGCCGGAGGTGGTGAGAGTGAGAGAATACGATCGAAGACCTTGCGACGTGGTACGTGACACGATGTGCACGACGAGGACGGGTACGGCGCGGCGCCACGACCCGGAGGCCGGAGCAGGGTGAACGAGAGCGAGAGGGATGCTTCGCAGGATCGTAGACAGCTACCGCGAACGCCACGGCGACGCGACGCGACGTCGTCGTCGCCTCATCCTCGTCGGTAAGTACGTTTCTCCCCTTCATTATTGACTCGCGTGCCGCGGATGCTTCTCCCTGGATGCGCATCGATCCCCTCTCGTCGAGATATTTGAATTCCGAAATGATTATGCGAAATGACCGCGCTGTGTATTTCGCGTTAATAAGTATACGAGAAATGAGAAAACGTTTTTTTTTTATTTTGAATTTATGAAACGAAGATGTTTTCTGAGAAATCGTACGCCAATTTTTGACTTTGTTACATTTAAGCCGATATTTCATAATCCGTTCTTCTTGTAAAACTTTCTTAAGGAAATTCTAAAGTGACAGAATTATTAACAGGTTTAAAAGTACTCCGAATTGTACAAATTGTAAATTCTCTTACACAATTAAAATACGCATTAAAAAAAGATACGAGACGATCTATTTAACGAGAAATAAAAAACAATTAAAAATTAGATTTATTGTTATTGCAATTTTTAAACTTTTTTTCAATACCTCATTAAATCGACCGTTTTCTTGTACCTTTTTTTTTGTATATGTTTTTATTGTATAAAAGAATTTTGCTGTGTATAATTCGGGATACTTTTTAATCTGTAATGTCGATTACTCTGTCATTTTAGGATCCCTTAAAATGCTTAGATGACGATTCTGACTAGCTTGTGACATTTTAAAACCTAAAGTCATCTCTTAGATGGTCTTGAATACGAGAATCGATTATGAATACTGGCCTTAGCATTTAATTGTTGTTTATTGCAAATACACATTTCAGTGTAATTTGTATTGCTCTTGCAAATTATTTGTTAAATTATAAAAATCTTTGTCGATACAGGAATTATTGTACAATATTACAGAAATATTTCTTATTTTTTCAATTTCTAAATTTTTATAAACATACACCATTAGATGGAGTCAAAGAAACAATGGTAACTTAATCCTTTCAGTTAAATAATCTTTTGTTATTTTTAATTTTGTATATTATTTGCAATTTCTGCGTCAAAAATATAAATCAATCCATTTCTGCGATTAGTTTCTAAGTAAACATCATTCATATTAATACACTTATACCCGTTTCTATGTAGTTTAATTTTAATCTTGGTTCAACTTGCTCTTTTTTTAATTCTTAGTCTAGAGCAAGATGAAAAGTTAATTAAACCAAGATTAAAATTAAGCTACATTAATAAAAATGGGCATCAGAAAAAAATAAAGAATATTAATAGAATAAATAACTTAATAAATAACAAAATTTGAGTTGATCTTAATACATTTCTTTTTTACTACGATATTTTTCTAAATTGTTTAAATCTATTAATATTATAATGTGAGAAAAAGTTCGTGGCGTTTTTGGCATGGCATTAAAAAAACGCCACGGACTTTTTCCTATATCTAATATAATAAAATATCGAAATGAGTAAAAATAATTCTTAAATAGGGTATTTAATATTATTTATTTAAGTGAATTTAAGTGTATTTTTTACGTAAATATTAGTCGCAGAGTTTTAAGAAGTTTTCCTCGCGCTGATTATAATATTTTTCACTGGCAGAACTGATGCACACTCAGTGCACTTTAAATGCACTTAAAGCTGTTGTACACTAATCTAATCTGAATATAAAAGTAAGATATCTCAATTAATAAAATATCCAATGTATATTATCAAATAACACAATAAAATGTATTGAGGATTTCACGATTTAATTCGTATCTATATTTTTATTAAACGAACATCTTTACGTCGATTTGTGTACAACGGCTTTAAAGTACACTGAGTCCGTACCAGCTTTGCCAGTGAAAAACGCTATTAGATTATTGGATCAATTCTATTGATATATTGATTGAAATAGATTCGTAAAACTCGTTATTTGTTCTCCTAGTACTTGTAAGAATTTATGACTGATGTTATAATTCTATGCTACGTATCGTAAGATATACGATCATTTATAAATATTTACGATTTCTTGTAAACCTTACGACTAGCAGAAAACTGTCTGTAAAGATATTGCATATATTAGGTATGGGAAAAAGTTCGTGGCGTTTTTCCCGTTAGATGTAACCTAATAGTTATAAACGCTTATAAGTTCTTACAAGTTTTACGAGAACAAGTTACGAGCCTTACGATTTTGCTTAGAATTGATTCATATATTTAGTTTTATATTTGAGGGATAATATTACCTAAAAAAAAAAAAAAAACTTTCATTTACAAAATAAACGTTCTACTAAATATGGTTATTAACTGCGTTCAGTAGAAAAAGCAAATTTGCAACTGTAAAATTCTTTAATATGCTTGATTCTTATCCTTAGTTCTTTACTAGATTTAAATATAAAACCAATCAAATTAAAGAAAGAATTTTAGAGAAGTTATAAAACTGCTTCTTCTGTTGAACGCAGTCATTATCGAAAAGAATTAAGTGCTGTCATTTATTTGGGAATAATTTTAAATATATCTAGCAAGATGTAGAAAAGACAAAAAATAAAAAACTTTTTTTAGTAGAATATATGTATTATATATATATATATATATATATATA